AATAATAATAATAATAACAATAATAATAAAAAGTCAAGATAAAATAGCAGCTGCATTCATGTGTTTGTTGGATTTTTGTGTTTGTTTTTTTTTTTGTGTGTGGGTTTTTTCTTAAAACTTTTTTCTTTTTTTTGAATCCACTGAGTCTGCAAAGACAAAAGTGAACCAGGACTTAGATACTAGACTCTTTGGGTGGCAAGTCCACGTTGGTGACAGACGTCACGATGGAGACGAGGCAGTCCGAGGTAGTGCCGTTTACAGATTTGCGGATCTGCGCAATGCGCTCCTCGACACAGCCCGCTGAGAGCCGAGCCTCTGCGTCGTGGTCCCAGCACTCTTCGATGGTCACACAGAGCTGCGCCAAGCCCTGTGGACAACAAGGGGGAGAAAGCACAATCAGCTTCAAAGTCTGCTCCGGGGACTGTCTCTGCAGCGGACACCAGGTCCACTTAACATAGCCTAAACACTATAAAGAATAGCAAAGGATATTTTCTCCATGGTATCACAGAACCATAGGGTATCAGGTTGGAAGGAATCTCAAGGATCATCTGGTCCAACCTTTCTTGGCAAAGCCTGACAAAGGAGGCCCAACACACTGTCCAGCTGAATCTTACAAGTGTCCAGTGCTGGGGAATCCACCACTTCCCTGAGAAGGTTATTCCAATGGCTCATTGTTCTCATTGTGGAAACTTTCCAAACATTACGCCAATTACCACAAGCTAAGCATTAAAAATTACTTTAAATATGTGTTGTGGGATTTTTTTTTAAGCTTTTGCTTTCTAGGGCTATGTGGCTTGGTCATATCCAGCTTTTTTTTTTTACAGCCTCAAAAAGTACTTTTTTAAATATAAAAATATAGCCCAAGATTCAGCAATTAAAGCCTTAAAAGGCCAGACATCAAGTACTGCAATCAAGTATTGCGATGCATCATCACTGCAATGGTGGTTTTATCATTGGTCCCATGATAAAACCATGAGAGCTGGCAGAACCATATCAGTTACTATGAAACCATTGCTTTGTTTGCAATCACTTCTAGAAGAGAAATTAGGAAGTTCTTCCCTGTGAGGGTGGTGAGGCCCTGGCACTGGTTGCCCAGAGAAGCTGTGGCTGCCCCATCCCTGGCAGTGTTCAAGGCCAGGCTGAAGGGAGCTTGGAGCAACCTGGCCTAGTGGAAAGTGTCCCTGCCCATGGCATGGGGGTTGGAACTAGATGATATTTAAAGTCCCTTCCAACCCAAACCGTTCTATGATTCTATATAACCAGAATAACTAAATTCAACACTGCTGGAAGAGCACAGCTCTTATTTGAACCCTCATTTGAACTGAACACTCATCTTTACCTACAACTGACAGCCCTCCTTAACTTTGAGGCAGATAGTTAGTACACCTGAGTCTAGCCAAAACCATGGCAGTTTGGTCCGAACAGAGGCGTTTATAGCTTCCTTCTGAAGCCCTGTGAGATTTCATCATCTGCTTAGTTTCCCAGTCTGAAAAAAAATAATCTCTTTTATTAAAACGCAAGCCTGAAATTATCTACCTCTGGGAAACCCACGCTGCCTTTTGCTTCATTGCCTGCTTGCTTCACATCTAATTAATTTTTCCTCAAAAAATTGTTCAAGTCTTGCATCTGGCTAGCTTGTGAGGCATACATCTCCCATGTCATGGATCGTTTTCTTTTTCTTAATAAAAAAGACTTTATTTTCCATTCTTTCGACATATTGAAGGAGTCCTACTATACCATCAGATGCTCCGTGCTTAGCACTGGCTGTCTTTTGATCAGCTGGTTTACTCTCTAAATAGAAGGAAAAACAGAAAGTGGAACATGAAGATATTGACCCCTCATTCCTGGCACTAACTCTCTTTAGCACTGGCAAGCAGGTTCATGCACCAGGGTGGACTGGTTAGCTTCCCCCTGAAGCCTACAAGTGATGCATAACGACATCCCTCATTCCCATCATACAGGAAAACATTTTCCACCGTTAACCAGGAGGGACGTACGGGGTGTTTCAGCCAGTGATCCTTGAACACAGGGCGCATCTTCTTGTGAACCACCACTTCTTGCAGGTCCTCAAGGGATGGGTGCTGACCTATTTCTTCTTCAAAAGGCAGCATGTATTCATCCACTGGACCTAAGGTGCGCACAAAGAACCAGGTTAGTACAGAAATGTCCTCCACAGAGCCACATTCTCCCCATGCATGAGTGAGCTGCGGCTCTAGAGCAGCTTCGACCCACTGCAGCAAAGCTTCAAGTTCACACGTCACTGCAGACAAATACAATTTATAATCTTCCTGCACAATGGACTTTGCTGTCCTCGCTGTCTGTCTGGCTATGCATTTTCCACCTCATCAAGTTACAAATCTCAGCCAGGCCTCCCAATCCCACTGCCCTCCTTGAGGAGGCTTGTCGGGTGGTCTGTGATTTATTTTAACAGGAAGGGCAAATCATCCCATCCTCCTCACATTTTAGCGTAGCAATTCAACACACAATAACCTAGAGAAAGCTTTCAGCATGAGCATAATTTCATTTTAGGCACTGGCTAGCAAGGTCAAGCATATAGAACACTTAAATTTCTTGCTCTGTGATCTGGCTTGTCATAGGTTTGAGTCAGCCCTGACTCGCTGGAGCCAGATGCACTCATCCCAAGTACCAGCTCCTAAGTGCAAACCGATTTCTGAATGGCTTAGTTATACCAGTTATGGCTGTGAACTGCCATGGGCCACACGAATGAGATGACTGTTATGAGTATCAGTGCAGATGCTGGATGGTAGCAATAACTTCTGCTTACTGGAACGTCATTTGGCTTTTGGCAATGCATAGATGCTTTCTCACTAAATGCAACCCAGCTTAACTGATGAGCTTTCTCAGAGTGCTCCATGGCACCACTTAAGGTTTCTTGGTAGCAAAGAATGACCTCTTTCAAAAGTGGAGATATTTCGAGAGGGCCTTTCCAGACTAAAAGAAGAGCGTTTTAGCTGGTCATGAACTGTAACACCAACAATGTGATGTTTAGGTACACTAAAAAAAATTGAAATCACTAAACCAGCTTATCATTATTTTTGAGGACATGACGCACCAGCCACTAAACCAAACTGAAACACTTGTTCCAGCAGATGGCACAGTAACGCTCATGATCTTCCCTTCTTCCTCCAAGAGGGATCATGGCTATGAAGAGCTGCACTGGTGATCTCCAAGCCAAATCTGCTGTTTATAAAACATCACTTCTGCGCTAGAAGTGCAGATGAGGTTCAGTGTAACACCCCATCATCCCAAAGGAAGCCTTTCCTCTGATTTAATGGTGCTCTGTATGGCATCTGCAGTATCTTGGCCAGCTGCTGCCTGAGAAATGCTGGAAGGAGATCACAAATATGACAGTCTAAAAATCTAAATGCTTATTTGGGGAGTCTCAAAAGAGAAGGGTCATTCCTACATGGGTACCACTGTTTAAGCCCACTGTGCTCCTTCCTTCCTGCTCCTCCAGCATTTTATCTGGTTAGATTGCAAATTTTTGAAGAAAATTTTTGAAGAAAGGGCCTTCTCTCACCACATACCTGTGTGGTAAAATTGACTGGCTCTTTGGTCTTACTGCAATACTAATAAAAACATCTGAAGTCCATGTGAGGAACTGTTAATTTATGAACTTGATATTCTCTCCAGAGCAGCCATACCTTTACAAAAGAAAGAAATTGGAGCAAGCAGCTTTGGAGCTACTACAATGAAATCACTGCTTCCATGATTAGGGTCCTGCAAATGGCAAGGGTGTCGCCAAAGGGCAGAAGTGCTATTTGGACAGAAAAAATGCCCCATATTGCAGCATCGTTTTAGGATTAAAAATAAAAACTGAGAAAAGAGATACCATAGAAGTTCATTCTTCTGGATCATGTGGGAGAAAGTGAGATCCTCCAAAACTGTACATGGAACAAATTCAGCCCACTGCTGAGAGAGGGCTTGACCAGCAAAAGTCAAAGATTAATACCTATTGACTTACAATAGCAGGGAAATAGGCTTGCTGACCCAAGAAGATCCTTCCAGCCCTGTGTTCCTGCTATTTCACCGAGGTGCTTCATTTCTGGGTTTTCCATTCAGGCTACCACACTGCCTTGGTCATGGACAGGAATGCAGAGTGCCACAGAGCAGACTCAGGACTAAAGGACACCCACCACTGATGGAGGAATTGCCTACTCTGAGTTCTCAGCCAATTTGCAATGTAACCAGCACAGTTAAAAGCATGTTGAGACTTGGAACGCTACAAAGGTTATTATCTACAGAGAATGACAGATTATGTTAAAAAATATACAAGTGAAAAACAGGTTAGCTGCTTAATAAAAATATGTCATTAATTGTTACTGATTTTTGTTTTTAAAAAACAAAGACAGGCCCATTCTCTGGACCACTAAACAACGCTGAAACAAAGCCCTCCCCAGGGAAGAGACAATCTTTATTCTTACCATCAACTGCTCTGCATCTGGAGACTAGCTCCCACAACACCAGTCCCATTGCATACATGTCTATTCTCAGGAAGGCGTCTCGTTGGAAGTTGATTGCTCCCTCTAACACTTCGGGAGCCATATACCTCCTAGTTCCCACCTACAGAGGAAAAAAACCCACAACTCAGATGACATTCCAGTTGGGCCTGTCAGCCTCCACTGGCTGGAGATGAGTGACAGGCAGTTTCATTAGCCTTAAGGCTGCTTCTGCTAAAGTTGCACCTCACTCAGAAAACAAGCAAAAAGGAGCTGTTTTTTCTGATACAGATTCTCATTAAGATCACTCGAGTCTAGATACGCTACCTGAAGGAAAAAGCTGAAGTGCATGGCTATATGTGTGATATTCATTCAGTGTATGCTACAGGTCTAATTTAAACACAGTGTGGCGTGGTGAGTACAGATGAAATTCCTGCCTTCCCTGCATCCTACTGCGTCTTGCTCTGGCAGCATACGCTCCGTGACAAAATGCTATCTTTGGAGACACACCAAATATCCTGAGGTCAATTCAGGCTTGGTTATCATAGTCATTGAAAGTTCAATCCCTTTTTACTCAAAAAAATTAACTATTTAAAAAAAAAAAGAGTGAAATTGATACATCCTGAAATGTAAGAAAAGGTGTTGTTTTGACAGCCCTGCATAAAACAAGTCTCCTTCAACCACAGGAGCAGTAAAGCATGAACCCTGCAAAGTCTGCCCTGTCCTGCCTTGCTGTGATCTGGTTTGGGAAAGATCCCCTCTTGCCACTTGGAGAGGACTCAGTCCTCATTATAGTTGTGTTTAGTCCAGGTAGAACCATGCTAAGCTCCACATATAGTTGTGATTATATAAGTGGCAGAATTACAACCCATATTGGAGGAGAGCAGAGAGGAGAGCCAGCGGAAAAGCACTCTTTTAACATGGGAATTGAAACTCCTTTAATATGTTCTTTTAGAAAATTCTTATCTGTTCTTACTTTTACCCGAGTCAGTGGGGACAGGGCAAATACAGGATGTGAAAAAGGTATGCAAAATCCAGGAAAAGTCAAAAATAAGGTGGCAAAAATGAGGGAAGCTGGGAGGGACTAACTTCACTCTTTCTAAGATAAAAGTAAAAAGGGAGTCTGCATTGGAGATGGACACTTAGAAAATCCCAGAGGCACAAGCAGGGGATGCTGGCTTTGTTGTGCCCTGGCATGAGAGCAGAATGAGGGGCCACTCACTGCAATCAAAAGGCAGAAAATTTAGAACCCATAAAAACATACTAAATCATTTAGGCAGTGCACAGCCAGCTCGCAAGATCTGCTGTTGATAAAGGTCACCCAAGCAGACAGCCTGGCTGAACTCTTAAAATGAATTGATGATTTTAGGACTATTAATATATGTATTGTAGTGCTAGTATTAATATTTAGGAGTATTAATATTTGTCCTATGGTCTAGACAAGTGGTCCATGCGGTGGGTGGGGAGCTACCTGGCTGGCTGTGCCCAGAGGGTGGTGGTCGATAGCTCCTTTTCCTGCTGGGGTCCCCCAGGAACTTATGTTGTGATCTGGGTGATGGGATCAGGGGTACCCTGATGAAGTTTGATGATGACACCTAACTGGGTGGGGAACTGGACACTTTGGAAGGGAGAGCCATCCTGCAGGAAGACCTTGACGGGCTAGAAAAGTTGGCTAACAACCTTATGAAGTTCAACAAGGACAAGTTTAGGGTCTTGCACCTGGAAAAACATAATCCAGGAGTGCAGCACAGGCTGGGATCTACCTGGCTAAGAAGAAGCTCTGTGGAAAGGAACGTGGGATCCTGGTGGACAAGCAGCTCGATATGAGTGATCAGTGTGTGCTGTTGTGGCAAAGAAAGCCAGCAGGAGGCTGGGTTGGCTCAACAAGGGCACCACCAGCAGAGATAAAAGGGTCATCGTCCCAGTCTACTCAATGCTTGTCAGGCCACACCTGGAATACCGTGGTATTTCAGTTTTGGTCCCCAATATGCAAAAAAGATGTGGACAGGCTGGAGATGGTCCAGAGAAGGGCCACAAAGATGATCCAAGGACTGGGAAGCCATGTAAGAAAAGGCCAAGAGAACTCGGTTTGTTCAACCCTGAGAAAGGAAGGCTCAGGGGAGACCTACTCACCACGTTCCAGTATTTAAAGGGTGGCTACAAAAACGACGAAGACTCCTTTTTTACAAGGAGTCACACAGAAAAGATGAGGGGTCACGGGCACAAGTTACTCCTGGGGATATTCCAATTGGACACAAGAGGAAAATTTTTCACAATGAGAACAATCTGTCACTGGAATAATCTCCCCAGGGAAGTGGTGGGTTCTCCAACACTGGACAGTTTTAAGATTCAGCTGGACAGAGTGCTGGGCCATCTAGTCTAGATCATGCTTTGCCTAGAAAGGTTGGGCCAGATAATGGTTAAGGTCCCTTTCAACCTGGCATTCTAATATTCTATGAATATTTAATACCTAGACAATAAAGAGTCAACAAGTCCTGTGTTTGAAGGAAGAAGCTGCCTGCCCGCAGGGCTGGGGTGACCTCACGTGCATAGCGGTCAGGAGGGTTTGAGCACCCTCCCCACTCAGATCAAAGCAGCTCCTGGAATTTATGTCTGAGCACAAGCTTTTATGGAAAATACATATCTCTGAGAGAACTAAATCTATACAAACTTCTCCCGCTTGCAAGGAGCTTTGGCAAGCCCAACTTTTTAAAATGCGATTGTTAAAGAGAACGATTACCTGTCCATGAGTGTCCCCTGGAGGTTTTCCAGGTTCAAACCGTACAGCTAGTCCAAAATCGGCTAGCACTGCCGTCAAGTCGTTCTTCAGCCGGACATTTTTACTCTTGAAGTCCCTACAGACAAGCCAAGAAGCAAGTTTGGGAAGGGTTTATTATGGCACACAGCTAAATCACATTGCAACGCACCATGTTGTAAGTCTATAGGCTTAGAAGCTCCCAGAAAATCAGCTCCTTCCTTCCTTACCTGGCTGTCCAGCATGGCCAGCACCAGCAATTTTGGCTGCTCCTCATTGCCCATGCCCCTGAAACACAACCAAGCAGCCCTGTGCTGCTCAGCACAGTTGACCAAACTCTGTGGTGAATTAACCTCGAACTAAATGAAGGAGTGATATGAAAGGAGTGTTTTAATTAGAGCAGGCAGTATAAAGCATTATTTCTTGCTCTGAGCACCAGCTGTGGACCCCCTTCCCTAGGCACTTACATTTCTCACTCCCAACAACAAAAGCAAGACAGGTTAAGGGGTGCATTTAATCTTTACCCTAGTAAGGATGTTTGCTTCCCTCTACGGAATTAGATCTTCCTGGAAATTAGTAGATACTGGTGGGATTCTCTTCACTCTGACTATACGCTTCAACAGACTTTTGCCATAGTCATCTATTACACTTATGTTTTAATTGCTGGACTGATCTTCCCTGGAGAATTTGGAGCACTGGAAAGCAAGCAGCGAAGGGGGTGAGCCCACACTCAGAAATCCTTCAGGATCAGACCGGACAGCTGATGGGCAGGTATAAGCATTTTCACTAGAGATGGTGGGTCTGTCCTTGAAGGTGGCTTTAAGGAGACATTTGTGTCAGTCCTGTGCTGCAGCAGGATTGTTTCAGGGCAGCTCAGGTAAATCTGCAGGGGCTGGAAAGGGAAGAGGGGTGGAGGAGGGTCACACTGAGATGCCTAACCAGTCAAGCCCTGTTCCCTGGGCTTCCCACATTTTCATCTGAAAAGGAATGTTTGGCAATCTAATTAAATTACAGACCTTAGACAGCAGATGGCAATTGTCCTGTATGCTCAGCATTATAATTTCCCTATCATCAATTCACTCAGTGACCCTGCTGATTGCAGGACATTGCAGGCCTGCACAAATAATTAATGAGGGCAGATACAATTGTTCCACACTAGACAGACCTGTCAAAATTCTCTGGGAAGAGAGAAACTGCTGGACCATAGAGAAGGGCTGCTTGCTGTGGCCTCGCATGCCAGAGCACCAGCTCAAAGCACCACAAGCAAAACTCATCCTGTACCACCCAGCCCCTGATTCTGAGCTTAAAAAAGGCTTTTTCTTTACTAAACTAATTACAGGATGATGGGAATTTCTGGCTTAAGGATTAAGATGGGGAAAGTGGGTGAGAAGTTGGAGAGCATCATACAGCCATGGAACCCCAGCAGAAACCTGTCTCCATCATTTCAGGGGGACACATCAGGTCTCTAGGGACACAGTACAGTTTTGCAGAGCCTGCAGAACATTCGTACCCCTCCGTTACACAGAAAAACACCATTTACCTAATACCTGTCATCTTAGAGACTGACTGCTTCCATGCTACAGCAGTTTTCCCACAAGCTTAGAAAACAGCCATCATCTAATGACATAGATATATGCCTTTTCTCAGCCAGCGTTAGGGGATTATGCCCTCCAGCATGGTACAGATCATGTGCCAGATTTTTCCAAAACGGTGGCTCACAGAAATGAGGAGCACATAAAAATGCTCTGACCATCTGCCTGAACGATACCTTTCTAAAGTGAAATGAGATGTAAACCAGTATTATTGCATGGGCATTTTGTTTACCCGCACTGCCCTTTGGGCATGCAACAGTTAACCACTACATCTTGATATATGATGCAGTAATTTCCCTTTGTGCTTCCTTTTTTCCCCACTATTTCTGTAAATTTCCCTATTTTTCCATGCTTTGCTTCCTTCCTTCCACAAACCATCTTGAGCTGGCACGTGTGAGCTGCAATGTAAAAATATCTAGGACAGGGAGAAAGACCTGATCCAAGCCATGCCAAGTAGAATTCCCACTGACATCGTATGCATTAGACCATACTAAAATGGTCACTGATAAAGGAAAGTGGCCTGAAAAGAAGAAAATATGTTTTCCTGTGCAATGCTTCAAAGCAGGGAATAAGAGAGCGAGGGGACTATGAATGATGGGTGTGTTAACTCAATTCAGACACCGGAGATTTTATTTTCAGCTTCCACGTGGGGGCACTTTCGCACTAACAAGCGATCCCATAACCTTAATCCTCCTTGTAGTGCGGGGGGACAGTAAAGAGTTAGCTGAACCCCTGCCCAGCAGTGACTCAGGGAGTCCCACCTGGCAACCCCAGCATCTTCACATGCTTTGTGTGGAGCCATTCAAAAATACCACCCCCCACCCCCCAATTTAAAAAGCGTTTGGTGTTTTCTTTTAAAGCAAAAATAAAGCTGAAAGGAGTGGGGTAATCCAAGGGAAATCCCCTGTGTCCTGAAATCCCTCTTCAGTAGGTATGTGCTAAATTCACACAAATACTGCATTCTCCATCTTTTATAATTTGCTAAATGGATGGGGACACTAATGAGCACAATCTGTTGCTTTAAAGACTTTCTATAGCCTTTCTCTGCTCCCCACCCTAAGGAATTTTCATGTATAAACCACTGCCTTTATTCCACAGGGACAAATGTCAGGGACACAGGGGTCAGCTCCAGGAGCAGCACAAAGGCAGCTGCAGGCTCTTTCAACAGACCCCAGCTCTCAGAAACCTTCAGGTTTGGGTAGGGGGCTTATTTTGGGGGCAGGGACACTCCTGCAAAAAAAAAAGGGATTATCTTGCCATACATGAAGACGGCCCCCCTAGATTGGGTACAAATTGCTGCAGCTGGAGTGGGGTTTAAGTCCCTCCTAGATGAAATGCAGTGGGTGGCAGGGCAGTACAGCTGCGGATTAGGGCATAGCCCACATAAATCCCTTCTGGAAAACTCCCCCCCTCCTGCCATGCCACTAGCAATACCCCAGTAGAGATGCTTTAGTCCAGGGCAAGCAATGTGGGACTTCAGAGAAGGGCTAAAGTAAGTATTATTGCAATGAGGATGGTTTAACCCACTGCCTTCTGGA